TTTGTCAGTTATCCAGAAAACAAACTCCCATTGTTCTGAAGGTCCACTGCTGCCAAAAAACAAATTCTCAGTGCAACAAACAGAAAAATATTGTAGCTAATTATTATGCAAAACTAAGTCACCAGACCTTCCTGGTCACACCATTGTTTTCCAACCATGTCCTAGCATGACCTGCCCTATGTTTCTGGTTGGCTTGCCTGCATAATCTTAACCTAAACTTGACTAATGTCACTACTCTGGGCCTAAACCTAACCAACCTAACCAACGAAGGCAACAATAATACGAGGCGATGGTCATGCCTCCTCCAGTAGGAAGAAATAATCGAGAAGGTCTGTTGTCACCGACTGTAAACGAGGTTAAATATCTGCCTGGAGCTGATCATGAGTTCATGACTGTAAGCAACATCTTTAACATGTAGTCATTAGATACAATGACAATAAAAAATACTGACTGGTGGAGTTTTAATGATGTATCTGATGCTCATGGTAATGCTCTCTCACTGCGTAAGAATTCAACTATCCCAGATATATTCCGCATTAGTATGCAGTAGTATGAAATATGACTAACACGTGACACCGAGAGACTCAAGTCGACTGAGTTACTTCATCTTAGCTCCAGTGAGAGAGTAATACTGCTCGGTCAGTCTCTTCTATACTGCCTGTTCAATTATGCCTGCTGGACCTCTTTCACGTCTGTAATTTGCATTAATAGCCTGTTGGTGAAAGTGAAGAAAATAAAGAATGTCTGTTACAACATGTGTGTGCAGGATGGAGGAAAAAAGAGAAAGAAACTGATTTAGCAAGTAGAAAAGCATACATTTCGCACATAAAAGTGCTGCAGGAAGGTGTAGGTGTACGGCGAGAGGAAAGGGGGAGGCTGGGAAGTAAGGTGCTGAGCTGAGCAGAGATGGATTTCCTGCCTGAACCACTTTATACACACGTCGTAACGTTTAATTACCCTGTGAAAAAACTCCTGGACGGACTTCGACATCGGTTACTCCAGAGGGCCTTGACCTGAGCGCCGCCCCGGCTCTTTCCCGACAGCCCTGTTTTCCTTCTGCGCTCTGGACATGGTTCAGGCTGGAAGTGACGGGTCCAAGGAAAGAGGCAGCTAGAGGGGCCATTAATATTTATCTGTTGTCCGGCAGAAATGTAACCCGATAAACACAAAACTTGACACGGACATAAATAGACACAATTATAGTAACGGAGAGATCAAAAGTTATGACTGTTCTATTTTATGGTCCACAAGAATCAGCCATGTGCTGCCTGCAGTTACACTCGTCATATTAATGTGATTTTTCAGATCTGACCATAAAGATTGGATTTTATGTGATCACATTAATCTACGCCCACATTTGGCCTGAAAATGGCTGTTATACGTCTCCCCAGGCTGTATTTATTTAAAAAAAAATATGTCTGGATAATCTTAACCTTCGCACCTCCGATCCTCTTCATTTATCTGCATCACTGTAAAATATGCTTCGCGGTCAGATGGTTATCAGACTATAAGCAGAACTCCTTTCACAGAGCGAGCCTGACCATTTCCAGAGCTTCTTCTTGAAATATCGAAAAGCGCAGTCAGATTTCTGGGAGGGCCGGGCCGTCACTTAATACGTCATGGCATCATTGGATGATAAAATTTCATGGCTGGTTTACGGCCAATGGGAAACTGGGACTGGCAGGGACAGTTACAGGTCTGTAAAGACATGAGTCAGCGTCTTAAAGACAGAAATAAGACATGAGAGAAAGGAAGCTTTGTGATTAAAGCATGGGAGAGGCTTTTCATGCCTCATTTATGAGGCCCTTTTTTCATCGTGTTTTTCGGTACATCTGCATCTAGAGACGTGTGTGTGTGTGTGTCAGCTGACAAAACGCCTTGGAGGCCCAGATTGTCCCCTGAGACTCAACTTATGTCTAATCAGCAAACTGAGTCTGTGCATTTACAAAAAGATTTAACTACTGGTGCAGAAGGAGACACGATGAGTGTGGTAGACACACGTTCAGCTGGATTCACTATAGGAGTGGCAGAACATTTGTGCTGGTTTATTAAGGAAACGTTATGGTGGAAAAGCTTCAGTCTTAATAACCCGTGTTCTAGATATGCCATGAATTAGTGACAAGTTTTAAGTGTGTGGTCATAAAACTTGAACTTAACGTGGCATTGGCGAAAGCATTGAAGACATCAGTTTTAAGTGAGTGGCTTACGGTTTTCTCATTTTTCAGTTGTTTCAATAATTGTATTTTTAAATACCTCTAAAAATGATTATCATTTGATCAGTAAATAATGAAAGTAATACTTTGATTTCAGTTTTTAAAAGTGTTTTTAAATGCCCTAAAGTCACTTGATATGCATTTAGTTTTTTATTTATTTTTATAACTTCAAAGTTCTCCTGGAATGAACCTAGAGGGCAGCCCCAGTTGCGTAATTAGCCTCGGTCGTAATAAATCAGACACTAATCACGTGCAGATTGTGAGCGCAAAATAGAGAGAACGTGCAGCACAAATCTTTTCTCTGCTTTTTTATGTTCGTCAATCTGGCCCTCGTTGCCTTCCTGAGGCTTTTACTGAGACTTCTGTGTTAACTCTAGGTTTTTGTGTGTGTGATAGTTTTGTTCATGTTATAAAGTATGTACGAGTACTGTATGTAAGAATCTGTGTGTGTGTGTGTGTGTGTGTGTGTGTGTGTGTGCGCATGGCAGGCTATAACTGTAGTGGTTCCCTTCACCTCACACTAGCTGTCAGTTGTGTTACACACAGCGCTGCAGCCTGTAGGTGACCCCCACACACATGTTCACCCTGCGGTCTCTACAGGCCGGGTAGAACACACTGGAAAGCTAACGCATAGCTGCCGTACTGACGGGCAATCTGGAAAACATGAGGCTGCATTAGAACAGATTTGAATGGTAAATTCTTATGAGGCAGAACAGGTGAGCAATGTACATTCAGTTTTATGTACATGGATTTTAAATACTGTTGCATACAACCACTTCCCCATCTATTCCAACTTTAAATGCTAATTGCAAGGAGCTGTTAATAATCTGCTTAATGTAAGATGACAATGTCTGACGCTCAGGCACGAACACAGTCACATATTTATTCACAGAAGACTTTTTTATTGGCGGGACACAATCCTTTTTATTTATTTTTTAGTCATTTGAAAGAGAAATGAGAAGAAAACACATCCTGAGACAAGATCCCGACTTCACGTGTTGTGACTGACGTAGCTGACGTTTTTTAGAAATGGCGGAGGCCATGGACGTTCATTTGTAGTTAAAGGAACAGTGTGTAGTATTACGGGGGATCTATTGGCAGAAATGCAATGTAATGTTAACCATTATGTTTTCTATAGTATAATCATTGTTGTGTTTTCGTGACCTTATAATGAGCCGGTTATATCTACATACAGAGCAGCTGCTCATCACGGAGCCGGCCGCCATGTTTCTACAGTAGCCCAGAACGGACAAACCAAACACTGGCTATAGACAGGGCCATTCCAGCCTCCACCTTTTTGCACACAACAGGACAGTGCTGCATCAAAGCTTACAACTTTGCCTTATTACTATAGAAATCATATGGATGCTATCCTGCAAATAATAAAGCATAAAACAATAATGTAACACCTTCTTAATCTTAAAAGTGATGCTCTGTATTTTCAGTTTGCTTTTGACAAAAGCCAAAAGAATATCTGAAAATACTGTCATATCTTATCTCTGCATGTATTAAGCATTGCTAATAGGTCATAGGTCATAGGAAATATGTTTGTTTTGTTTTACTTTCCTGCAACTCTCCTCTCCAACTGCTTCTTTTAGCCTAAGGACTTGGACTGGGTCCGTTTGCTTTCTAAAGGTTCACATGACTTTCATTGTCTCATAAACAGAGTGAACAGCAGAGGGACGTATCATCGGCCCTTATTTCTTCATCTACGCACACTTCAGACGAACACTTATTTAAGTATTATTGCACAATTTCACTCCTCCATCGCAGTCATAGTTCATATGCTAGCTTACAGTGTTCGGTCCATGAGCACGCACACGCACACACACACACACACACACACACACACACACACACACACGTAGCAGCTGGATGGTGCAACATCAGCCTTGTCCAAACAGCACATAGAGCAGAGGGAGCAAGAAATGCTCAGAGGAGGGACCAAGAAATTCAGCATTAATCACACACTGTGGCACACACACACACACACACACACACACACACACACACACACACACAC